AGGCCTTTATAGCAGATTTTACTGGATAACAATACTGAATCTTTCAATTAACAGTCATTTTAAATTTTATAAAATCAGATACATAGGTGACTTGTTATGATTTAAAAATATGCAACTCAAATTAGTTTCAATATTCTAAACATAATAATAGAATAACCAGAGAAATGTGATTGTTAAAATGCTTATGACAAAAATATAAACTCCCTTAAGGGGCTAGGTTGGTTAGTTTTAGTTTGCAGAATAATTAGGCAAAATGCTGAAAGTTTAACACTGCCACTTACCTACTCATCTATTTGAAATGTCTGATGTATAAAATTACTGCAATTTGGCCAACAGAGGGAGCTATTGCAAAATTATTTCCAGCAGCATTTGGAAAATCTTCCTCATCCTAAACAAAACTGGCATAACAAAAAGTTACCAGGATAATAAGACCAGCTGCATCACATAATTTCTCTTTCTGCCCATTTTAATTAGCATATGTGCTACTGTTTACTAAGAAGCATATATACCAAATATGGCATTCCAGCTCATTTCTTTACATTTAAAGTTTTCTTACTCTAAAGTTTTAAAAACAACTCATGAAAACATGCATTCAGAATGAATGGAAAAGATAGGGGGGATTCTAAAATTCCTTATGCTGTTCCTCCTGATTGGAGAGGAGATACAGCACTAACCAGGGCACCAGTAGATATGGCAAGGGCATGTTTACACTTGTCATTTAAAGTGGAAAAAGTCCCTTTTTTGTGCAAAAAATGTGAGAGTATCTACACTTTTCAATGACCCTTTTGCAGTAAAATTGAGCAGAAACCATCAAACTCAAAAAGGAAACCATCTCTAAGACAGCCATATAGCTCTTACTGGGGTTGCTTTTGCGGTGATATGCAAGTGAAGACACGTTCTTATGGTTTTAGAACTTTTAGCTTTCACAAGATATATCACAGTGTCTAGCTATCACCTCTGCTGCTAGGTAAACAAACATCTGCCCCTTCCCCTGGAAAGGCCCAGGAAGTTTGAAACTCCCCTCCCTATTTTCTTGACAACTGCTCACTTACCATCTGGCCAGATGACACTGTCTGCTTCATGGAACAATCAGTCCCATTTAGAGCAATGCTGACCTAGTGCAGCTGATCAGTGTCTGTGGAGAGGGGGCTGTGCAGGGATGCAGGATGCCCTGCAATCACCCTTCCGTTCCCAGGAGAGATGCACTGTGGGATAGCTGCCCTCCAGTGCTGCTCTCATCAGTAATGGAAGGTCTGTGAATGACCACATTCTCTGACATCTGTTACCTAAAGTGAGTACACAAACGAACACTTTTCTTTTACCAACTTCCTAGTACTGGTGAAATTGACAGTGCAAACACTCTGCAAGTGTAGATATAGTCTTAGAAATAAGATGCACATTGAAAAATGGCAGTAGTTGATGTAATGCAGAAACCTGTTTTACTGTGTTGCAAACAAATGGACAATATATATTGTACAATATATAATAAAAATACAGGCGAATACGAGAATACGAGTGCCACTGATAAACAAAAAGAAACCTTAATGTTAAGACTTAAAATGCTAACTTTATATAATATATACATTGCAGTAATAAGCCACAATAAATACATCAATTTCCATATCATTCATAATAAATAATGAAAATATAAATACAGAAGAATACAGTTAATTTGAATAAATTATTACAACATAAGGTCCAGGTTAAGTTCTGTTGAATGTTATTGTAGCTTATATTTCCCTTTGGCATCTTTGATTTTACAATGTATAAAGCAAAGGAAATCAATCTAGGAAATATGTAACTCATCATGAATGTATAATGTTCAATCTATGTATTTTGATTTTAAGATGAATTTTCTTGCCATTCACACCATAGTTTGAAAACAACAGTCCAATAAATAATGTTGATTTACTGTTGAAATCCTCATGATTTTAGCATGTATGACCAGTTATAATGGAAATTAAAATATTTTAATTACATTGTAACTATTTTTCTCAAAAAATGTTAGTAATTATATACAATTTTTAAATCAACGGGTGTAATTATACTGTTTTACACTGCGATTCCTATTGTATTTAATATCTGAATGAGTTATATCTGTCTGAAGGACAAAACTCAAAATGCTTTTGAACCTGTGATTTTAAAATAATCTTATTAGCATACTATCTTTCCATCGCCAATTGTGAGCTCACAGAGTTTCAGAAGCACCTTTAATATTCTTATACATACATTGCTAAATCTTTTAAAATATATGATGAAATTAGACAATATAAACTTTACATAGCTGATACTTTTTGAACCAACCAAAGGTATTTTTAGCATGAAAAATGTCTATATAATAAATGCTGAATGACTTTTATTACAAAATTGATATACTCTATCAGTTTTAAGTGAAAACATATCAAAATAACAAAGTGCCATGTTCTATATTAACAGGTTAACCAGTACATATGTATTAATAATTTTATTTTCAAAAGCCTATTACACCAGAAATGCAATTAACTAAAATAAAGCAGATCAATTTTACTAAGACACTATTACAGGCTGAGGCTGTTAGTAAAACAGATTTGTAATCTACAGATTTTGACTAATTCTGCACTTGTTAAATGTCTAGCGCTTATTTTACATCAAACACTTTTAAAACATTTTTCACAAACTACACTTCAGACATACTTCCATAGAAGTGTCTACAGTCAGTCAATTAAAAGAAGGGCCCGGTTATGGGCATTATATATATAATAATATATATATAATAATATATAAACACAAAAAAGTCTTGCTGTTTTATGAACAGTCACACTTCTATTTGTGAACCACACTTCTTATTTTTAAATAGTTACACACAAAATTATCCCAATAGTTCTAGTACTTTTGTGCAGAACAATGTGAAAATCAAGAACAATGGCACATGTTCACATCACAGCAAGATTTTTTTGTTGTTGTTTTAAGAGAAGCAGCTGGCAGTGCACACAAAAATATAACCCTGTTGAGAAGCTTGAAACTCCATGTTTAGTCTGCATATTAAAGACTTGCTTGTGGGTGGGTGGTTTCACAAAAACTCTATGCATACCAAAAGGTCTGGCTTTTACCCATAGTCCAAAATAAAACTGCACATTTCAGTAATCCAGAAAATATTAAAAGGCTCAGGAGCCTATGGAAATTAGATGTCCCACTAGCATTTATTTTTTTACTGGGATTTGAATGCCTCTCTCCCTTAGTCTCCCCACCTAAGTCACTATTCAGAAGGACCTATATTTCTTCCTTACATGTACAGGTCATGTTAAGAATATTAGACCAGGGTACTGAGGAGCTGTGTTAACTAATTCAGTGTTAAACAAGACCTTTCAGTCTGTATACACAGGGACAAGCTCAGTTTCAGAATGGTTGTGATTAAACCTATTATTTCAATGATGTCTGCACATGACTAGCAGTCATGTTAAAAATGTCTTTTTCCTGCGTATACCGGCTGCAAAATTGTGTTTAACATGTTAGTTAACACAACCCCTATCCTGTTCTAAGCCAATATAATTTTGAGTGAAGACAGACTTCTGGTACCTGTAGTGGGGCCCTCTTCACCTTAGTTTTGCCCTTTTTATGAAACTTTTCCTTTATCATCAGGATAACAAAAAAAAAAAAAAAAATCCACATCAGGGCAGATGCATTCGCTGGATGCATGGCTAAGATTGAAGCCATGTTTGTCAATATATATTCCATTATTCCTCCAGACACTATAGAAAACTACTGAGGCTTTCCTCAGTAGCACACAGTCAACCTGTGGAACTCCTTGCCAGAGGATGCGGTGAAAGCATTTAACAGGGTTCAAAAAAGAGCTAGATAGATTCATGGAGGTTAGGTCCATCAATGGTTATTAGCCAGGATGGGTAGGAATGGTGTCCCTAGCCTGTTTCTCTAAAAGTGGGTGACGAGGGATCACATGAGGATTACCTCCCAGGATTCTGGGCTGGATGGACCTTTGGTCTGACCCAGTATGGATATTCTTATGTTCTTAGGCTGCTGTGGAAACCTTTTATGGAGGCATCGGAAAGAGGGGAGAGAAGTACTTACACTAAATGCAGGGCAGCATGTTCTTTTCATTTTCTTGTTGACTTGTTACCACATGAGGCTCAACAAAAGCATCTGTTGAACAATTTAACAGACTCAGTCGTTGCTGAATCCTAAGTAAAAATGATTATACAAGCTGGGCCTACTTGAGAAACTAGAGATTTTCCATCTGAGAAGCCAATTTGAAAAGCATCCAGAGTGGGGCTCTTTATTCTCAAAGATCAATCAACAGTGTCCCCTCTGCCACTAGGAATCCTGATGCACCATCTACTAATCTTGGGTACCCCAGAAAACTAACTCAATATGCCTTTTAACTTTCTTTTTTCAGAGAGCTGTACCTCATTTTAGACACACATTTCAGCTCTTCCTTAATGTAAAACTTCATCTCAAAGCAAAACTTTTTCAGGGAAAATACAAACAGAGCAAAATTACAAAGCATCAAATTCTTCAGAACTTGCATGAAGAGGTGAAAGCAACTTACGTTTCTTACAGGTACTGTCCTATCGCAACCCAGGTCCCAGGTCCCAGCTCTTTAAATAGTTCCCTGTTGGCCTTTGCTGCAGCTCAGCCAGCTCTTGCTGGAGCTGTGCACTGGGGTGCCCCCCCCATCCCTTACTTTCACCGCTGCTTGTGCACCAGCTGAACTAGTTGTTTCCATAGTAAAGACCATAATGTAGGTTGCTTGAGAGACAGGGAACTCCAGCAGCTCCCATGATGAGAGTTTAAAACCATTCCTTCTTCCCAGATAACATTGTTAGTTACCTGTGGCACATTAATACCAAGTAAAATAGAAGTTGCCTTCTGATCCTGAGGGAAAAAAAATCTTGAAAATCCATGGAGAGCTCTTAGACTTTATATACTCTATTTTCTTAACTAATCAAGAAAACTTGTTCCTTAATCATAACTTTCTTGCTTTGGATTGCACACCTCTTAAAGAAAAGAAGAGAATTGTTAATTAGCATGTCAACTGATCACTGGGTAGCAAAACTAAACAAAGTGCATTTTTTAAAAAAGGACGTTGGAAACTTTGAGAATTTAAGAAACAATTTAATAGTAGTTCTCTACTATTAATTGTAAAAAAATACTGCTCAGACTTTATATTTTAGAAATAAATTCTATGGACTATAGTATCATCTGAGTTAAGTCTACCATTTATTCCTATTAATATTTTACATCAAATGATTTGCAAGCACAATAACGGCTATATTTAACTCTTTGGCCCCACCAGGGGAGCTGCACATCCCTGACTAAGACCTGAGGATTTTGGCTTTTTTATCATCCCCATGGTATTCAGCCTTCAGTCCTGAATGATCCAGGAAATGAAACAATTAGAGCAGCAATCAAGCCCAGGTCACAAGGTCTCAATGTAGAGCACTATCATTAACCCATCTTTATTCAGCAGATTCTCTTAAATCAGAACAGTAGGCCAGATTATCTCTCTCCTTCTAGCTCTGAGTAAGGAGTGGTACACTGCTGCACTGCCCCAGAGCAGTGCAGGAAAAGAATTGAGCCAGAGTCATAATTATTACCCTGACTGGCTCTTCCCTTGCTTCAGTGAGGCAGGAATCTGCTAGTGATCCATACCAGTAGCATATGACTTCCTCCTTTGCCCTGGCCCAGATATGCTGGGCAGTGTATTGGGGTGAAAAAGCAGAGTCAAGACTCAGTACTATCACCCCCATTTTACAAGAGGGAAACCGAAGCACAGAGTAGTAACATAACTTATCCAAAGCCACGTAACAAGCCAGTGGCGGAGCTAAGAATAGAATGTAGGGTCGCTTAAATCCCAGTCCAGTGCTCTGCTACGCAAGGCTGCCTCCCACAATGCCAAACACAACTTTAAATATTAAAAACCATGGCAAAATAAACTCTCTGGCTTGCTGAGATCTTTATGTAACCTATAACAAACAGGTTTGGTTTACTGAAGAGTCTTTTCCCAGCTGAGTGTTGTGTGAATGTACTTCTCAAGACATGTGATGAAGCAGGCCACACAAAATTAAATAGAGCTTTTGGGCCCTAATCTATTAGCATTTCAGTGAGCAACAAAATCATGAATACTAGACATTTTGTAGCATGTTATTACAAACAGTATTATGACATTTAAAGAAACTCAGACCTCTCTAACAAATCACTGGGAGGACTGAGCCAAATATAACTATTAATAAACAGGTTTCTTGAAACAATAGATTTGCAGGTGTGAATGTTGTTTGTTGATAACTGATCACAACTCGACCTCAGGCAAATGTAAAAGGTACAAATAGAACTACTATTGTTAGAACTCAACAAAGAATTAGTAATTTTAAATGGCAGTCTTTATCAATAATAATTTTAAATAATAAATTTATTCAACTGTCCAACATGTAATCAGAGATTTTCTATGAAAAACAATAACATGTTAGATAACTTGCATTTTTCCCCCTGGACAATTCTCTTTTTAAGTGAATGTTCCAGGCACCAGGAGCTCCTTGCAAGCAACTTCAATTGCCATAATTCTGCCAGCAAATTTCTAGCTTCACATTTACCTTCAGTTAAAGCTTAGTAAGCAAACTAGTTGGTTGTATCTTCCAAGAGAGGCAAGCTTTACTTCATTGGGGGAAAAATGCAGTCAGATCTATGTGCTGTTTTTACTGATCTCCAGTGTGCAAATTCTTTTGTTATACAAGGAAATGTTTTAGGGTTACTAGTGCATAAATCGTTAGGAGGAAGAAAGAGTACTAGGAACACATTTCCAAAAAAAAGCATTGTCCCCAGGTTACAGATTACCTGTAGTGTTTTTGTCACTGTGCTGGTGCCAGGATATTGCTGAGACAAAGTAGGTGAAGGAATATCTTTTATTGGACCAATTTCTGTTGGTGAGAGAGACAAGCTTTTGACCTGTACAGAGCTCCTCTTCAGGACAGTTCTTCAGCACATTAGGAAGAGCTTTGTTTAGCCCAAAAGCTTGTCTCTTTCACCAACAGAAGTTGGTTCAATAACTATCAATACCTCACCCACCTTGTCTCAGTTTTCAGAATAACTTTCAAAACTATCCTGTTCTTTGTGAATGAGTAATACCGGATATCATGTACCTTATGGATGTAAAGCTTTTAAAGCACAAACAAGGAATGGAGCCCAAGTATTAATGTAAATGTGTCAACAAATGACATGCCAAATCTACAGAAGACACACATGGCTATTTGTAATTTAACACCATTGAAATAAGGTTCACAAAAGTGAAACCAACACAAGAAATATATTACTTAATTAACTGAGCAGTAGGGCATTATCTTCCCCATTATGTCTTATTAGAGGGTAGCCAAGGGAAGGAGATTGAAAAGCACTCACAAATCCCAAGGTTTACCAAACTACTAAACAGAGCTTTTCCTTAAGTCACTGGTTTTCAAGCTTTTTTCATGTGCGGACTCCTAAAAAATTTCAAATGAAGGTGCAGATCCCTCTGGAAATCTTACAGTCTGTGAATAGCTTAGGGGTTCATGAACCACAGGCTAAAAAGCAGTGCCTTAAGCCAATAGCATCTTTTCCTCCAAATTAAACATTAAAGGATGACAAAGTGGAAGTATTCTTGACTCACCTCTGATTTCTAAGGCCTGATCTACACTTTAAAAGTTTGCTAGCCCAGCTACATGTGAGTTGATTACTTTTTCTACCTGTAACTGACAAAGCTATGTCACAAAAGCCCTTTCCAGTGTAGACAAGGCTTTGGACTCTGGGCAAAAGGCAAGCGAGATCTGTTTGGAATGTGCATGGTGGTAAAATCATGAGAGCAAAGTCTGACTAGAGAAGTGCTGGGGGTGAGAGAGTTGACCAAAGCAGTGCTGGTATTTGCAAAACAATGTAATCATGTATAATTAAAGGAAGTTAAAAACTGCCATACTATCTTTACGCCAGATACTATAACCTCTGACTCCTCATAATTGCTCCCAACTTTAGTTGTGGAAAATAGGATAGCAAACATTTCTTCAATTACCTCCCTGTCCCCATGTCTCTTGTTGCTTGTCTTCTGAGACTATAAACATAGCTCCTGCCACAAGAGTTTATTTCTAATCCAGGTTGAACTATAATCCGGACTATAATCTAGATTTCCCTTGTCTGGGCTTCCCAAATCTATAATCTGAACTTCCCTTGTCCGGCAACATCTGTGGTCAGGCATTTGTGGGTGCTGGAGGGCTGGAGAACTCAGGGGTGAAAGCCCGAGGCTTTGCACTCACTAACCCTTCCCCTCCCTTGCAGAAATTGTGCCACAAATAGCTGATTTGCAAAATTCAAGTTCAAAGAGGGAGGAGAGGAAAAGTGGGCCGAGGGGGACGGAGTGCTTGGGGAAGTGGCTTGAGGATGTGGAATCCCTTGGCAGGCAGCCAGGGCTTGGGAGTGCAGCTTGGTGGTGAAGCAGCACAGGCTGAGAGCTCTGCTGCCAGCCATGGGGCTACCCAGCCACCCCACCTCTTCCCCTAAGTGCCTCCCATCCCTGCTCCATCAATGCTGTTTCCTGTGCTGCTATAACCAGTGGCCCAGCCAGGGCTCCCCAGCCCTGTGTTCTCCAGCTGGCTCCCGCTCCAGCCTCTGGGTATCTTTGGTTCAGCAATATCCATGGCCCTGCTAGACCACAGATGTTCCCAGACAAGAGAGTCCCAGATTTAGGAGGCGCAATCTGTAATAGTAGCTGTTACGTTACAGCTTTTTGAGATGTGTTTTACATAATTACTTCTCTATGTGGAAAGTTACAGACTAAGAAAATAATTTCTCCATAATTTGCTCCATAACAGGGCAAATAATGAAGTTAAAAATCTTTTTTTTAACCTGAACATAATCCATTGGTTAAATGTGCATAATTATGTCTCCTGCTAGTGGCCAATACACATTGAAATTAAGAATCTGTTACAGCTAGAGGTTTGTGCTTTTGTGGCTGCTCTGGCTTGTGCCAGATTTCCATGATGTGTAAACATCTGCCTAGCCAGTGATTTGTTACAGACACTCTATAAATTATGAGAGCCCTGTTATGACACAACTTAATACTCTTTATCAAATGTGTCAAATTATGATTCTCTTTGAAAATAAAGAAAACTGTTTGAGGCATAAAAGCTAAGAACACCTATCTTAACTGAGTATGCACCCTTGGGGGAAGAAAAGAAGTCTCTGCAGCAAACAAGAGGAACAGATGAATTGCTAGAATGGCTACTATAGACAGCAAATCAAAGTGGGCTGCACTTTCCCAGGAGATAGGAAGTATGCCATTCTTTTTCTATCAGAGCTTATATCTCAAAGGAATACCAGTGAAGGCATTCATGAATTAATGTGGGAACAAATAAACAAAACAACTCCCTTATGTTATGTGGAAAATTATCAAAATATTTTGCCAATTTAGTGTAAAAAAAACTCACCTGAAATGGTGTGCAAAGGATTCATAAAAAAGAGCCATTAAGTCACAACATTTTTTCAGAGAACATCTTTTTAGCATGGTAATTTTCCTACCTAGAATAGTGCAGCTGACATTATAAAGAGCCACTCAGTAGAAGAGTAATTGGTACAGTGTTGGAATCTACAATATGCTTACATCCATACCCCTAAAACAACTAAATTTGATAGAGATAAATATTAAACAGCAGATGATGTAATTTGACAGAAAATAAATTGTTTCAAACTAACAGACATAAAATGATACTTCAACATTGGCAGAAGGACAAAAATATCAAAACAGTGTCACTGTCCTATTGTACAGTATTTTGAAATAAGGTAATGCACAGTGAGGTATATCTAACAAAGGTGCAGGAAATGAACTGCTGAAAGTTTTTCTTCAGAAAAACAAAGTTCATATAATTCAAAGGTTGGCATGTAGATTGTGTTGTATTTCTTACTGTCCCTTTTAAAAAGTAAAAAAGAAAATCAGGTAATGGATGATGGGTGCAAGGCATTAGAATTTACCTACATATAAAACTTCAAATAAAACTTCTGACACTAGAATCCTAGTTGAATGTACAGATTCTGGTACTAATACTGTTATTATCAGCGTAATTAAATGACTTCGTACTTTTAGGGTTTGATCAAAAACCCACTGACTGACTTCAATGGGCTCTGGATCAGGCTGTTATTTTGTACAGATTGCTAAATACATAGAAAAAACTTAAATTGTTTTCCATGTTTCATTTGACCTAACAGACTCACACTGCTCTTACTAATTACTTATATAAGCATCCATAAACTGGCTTGGGAAAACTTATAACTGTTTTATTACAATGAATTTAAGATGCCTGTCTATTATATAGATCTCACAATCTGGAGCTATGGCATATCTCCGAAATAGTTCACAGTTCTCACAACTAATGAGGTACTGCAAAATGGCACTAAAGTGCATTAGTAAGCTGAATATTTGTGGGACTAAAAGGTGCTGTGCAAGTTTATAAATTACTGCTTTGTCCTTATACACAACATCAAATTTTCTGTAGGTGGAGTTAACTGTGGGTTGTCATTGATTCAAACATTAAAAGACGATTGTCCTATCTTTCACCTTTATACAAAATATAAATGCCCCTTACCAACAGATCTGTCTGTCAAAAACAGTAAAAACAGATCCAGTAATTTTAAAGTATATATTTTAAGATCAGTTGCTAGGAGAAGTTATAAAAGTGTATATGGTATGCCAGATAAAATTTACGTGGGCATGCTCTGCAGAACTAGCTATGGATCTTCAATTCAAATGAACGTTCTGTTCATTTTTATCAGACATGAGTACTTAACTACCATAAATAAAATACAGTACAGAACACTTAAATCTTTTTCATACATTAATTACTTTTACATAAAAAGTCACTATCTTTTTCAGATATGTTGAAAATTTAGGACTCTTAACACGATTATTTCAAAGTATCATTTAACAATCTTGCACAGGCCCAACAATCAAAACCACAAAGCTTTGATTCAGATAGCTTGGCAGATTTCACACAGTGTGACAGGTAGGCTACTTTGAAATATGTACATATTTTTAATTTATACATTTTCTATCAAAAGACAGCTTGATTTCTGCTTTTAATCTTTACATGAACTGTTTTTGTGCAATGTCACGGCCATGTTGCTTGAAAGAAAAAAACAATGTGTCTGGAACATTAACCACAGTCCAAGATTTCTTAGTCCACAGCTTAAAAAATTATGATTCTAGGAAATCCAATTGGAGTGCATTTAAATAAAGGGATTCAGTCCTAGAATATCTTAATAAATTAAACAGGTACGGTTTCCACTACAGATGATTTGATACACTCTTCATGCAGTCTGCTCTTTTCCGAAAGGCTTATAGAGTTCTCAGCAGCTTGCTCTGGTATGTGACTATCACCATTCAAAGCTGAAACAAATCCATCTTGAGAGGTACTTTTCAAGTATGAGTGAAATTCCACTTGAGGGTGGCTTGGCCTATGTTCAGTGTATAAACTATTACATGGAACACTGTTATCACTTTCCGAAGAGGAGCAGCATACTATCACAGAGGGGTTTGCAGAAGGATAATGAGAACTGCTGTAACTTTCATCTGATTGCCGTGTGTAGTTAACAAACTGCTCTGAAGTCATATTATAAGGCACCAGAGAAAGACTACTATTTTTAACCATGTCCCTTTCTGAAAAGGTCTCAGCGATCTGGTTATTACTGCCAGGGACATGGTTCTCTATTTGGTAATACAGTGTTGAAGAGTTAGCATAGTATGAGGCATTTTTAGAGTGGCTTTCGTGCACTGCAGTTCCATCAGAATAGCAAAGGACAGAAGGAAGAGGCACCACATCGGCATGGGACCCCAAGCCTTCCACAAATTCATCTGCTTTTTCTTCCTCCTCCTCCTCCTCATCCTCATCATCGGATTCACTGGGTGCTAAACTTGTACTAGAATCTGTAACTCCACTACAAAAGCTACTACCATCTTCCTCCTCCTCCTCCTCCTCTTCTCCAGGACAATCCAAATCTTCAGCAGACTGCAGGTGCATCACTGCAGCCTGAGGGTCAGCGTCAATCTCAAAATTCTCTGCAAGTGAATATTCTACTGCGTGGGGTGCTGTACTCATAGAACTAGTGTGAGCACTTACCTCAGTGTGGCAACCATTCAGTGGAGTGACTGGCTGCTCTCTATTTTTCTCCAATTCAAGCTTCATTATTGTATGCAAAAAGTGAGTCCGTACACGGATGGGGTTAAATTCAATTCTACCTGCTGTATTGCTGCACCCTTCTTTAGTGCAACCACATGGAAAAGACATACGATCCACCTTTTAAAAAGAGAATACAGATTAACGATATGTACAATAAAACCAATGAAGCAACAGAAACTAGAGACAAGAAGTTGGGGAAAATGCACAATACAATGAGATTCATTTGGGGAAAATGCACAGTACAATCTATATGGAAAAAAATTAATCAAAGAACAAAAATTCACAAGGAAGGAGAATGCTAAAAAAACAATAATATCGTTTAAAAACTCAGAAAGTTAGATATTGATTTACAATGCAGTGTAATAGAAAAAAAGACAATTTCAGGTGTCATACATCACAAGGAGAATGAATGCATAAATTATTTATCTTGTCTACCACTCTGCTATGACCATACCTGAAATACAATGTTAATTTCTGGGGCCTCATTACCATAAAGAAACTGATAAACTTAGATGGAAATCAGATGAAAGGAACAAAAACAATTAATGATTATTTATGAGGCAACTGCTTGTTCAGGAAGGGTTTTTTTTTTCAAAATGAAATATAAATAGCTTGACAATACAATAACCAAGAGGTTTGTATTTGCCTTGGAGTTATCGTGGACAGTTCTCTGAAAACTTCCACGCAGTGTGCAGCGGCGGTCAAAAAGGCAAACAGGATGCTGGAAATTATTAAGAAAGGGATAGAAAATAAGACCCAGAATATCTTACTGCCCCTGTATAAAACTATGGTACGCCCACATCTTGAATACTGTGTACAGATCTGGTCTCCTCACCTCAAAAAAGATATTTTGGCCTTGGAAAGGGTTCAGAAAAGGGCAACTAAAATAATTAGGGGTTTGGAACGGGTCCCATATGAGGAGAGGTTAAAGCGACTGGGACTTTTCAGTTTAGAAAAGAGGAGACTGAGGGGGGATATGATAGAGGTCTATAAAATCATGAGTGGTGTGGAGAGGGCAGATAAAGAAAAGTTATTTATTAGTTCCCATAATAGAAGAACTAGAGGACACCAAATGAAATTAATGGGTAGCAGGTTTAAAACGAATAAAACTAGGACTATAATAGAGTTTAAAGAGAAGCTGGATAAATTCATGGAGGTTAGGTCCATAAAAGGCTATTAGCCAGGGGATAAAATGGTGTCCTTGGCCTCTGTTTGTCAGAGGCTGGAGAGGGATGGCAGGAGACAAATCGCTTGATCATTGTCGTCGTTCCACCCTCTCTGGGGCACCTGGTGCTGGCCACTGTCGGTAGACAGGATACTGGGCTAGATGGACCTTTGGTCTGACCCAGTACGGCCATTCTTATGTTCTTATGTTAGGAAAAATGACTACAGAAGTTGAAAACTGAAATTGGGCCCTATTTTAAATGAGGCTTCAGTCAACTGTGGATGCACTATTGTAGATACAATTAACTATAGGGTGAAATAAGAGAATTTAGATATCTAATTACCGGCTTGGAGCCACAAATCAGATACTGCAAAAGCGGCGAGGAGTCCTGTGGCAGCTTATAGACTAACCAAAGTGTTGGAGAATAACCTTTCCCATGCATGCATCTGACGAAGTGGGTCTTTGCCCATGAAAGCTTATGCTCCAACACTTCGGTTAGTCTATAAGCTGCCACAGGACTCTTTGCCACGTTTGCAGATTCAGACTAACACGGCTACCCCTCTGAAATCAGATACTGTAATTAGATGCCTAAATTCTATCATTTTCACCTACCTGAAAGCAAATGAAGGTATAAAATTAGAGATCCCTAAAGTAACTCTAGTCTGTCCCCTTTGTCAAAAAAGAACTGAAAACAATCTGAATAACCAAATGAGTAAAACACCTGAGGGTAGTAGAATGAGTTTAGGCAGGTTTAAGAAATTATGAAAAGGAAAACTTAGAGAAATGTAATGATAGTGAGATCTATTGCGCTGTAGACTAGTGATCCAACAGAACTGGTGGAAGCCTCCTTGATTAGCACATTTAACATTAACCTGTAGAAACCACTAGGGTATATTAGGGAATACATTAGGGAATACATTTTTGATAAATGTATTCAGATAGACAGACTAATACTAATGGTCCAGCTCTAATATTTTTGTTACTATCATGTGTGAATTGGAAGACAATAAAAGATGCTTCATTTACTGATTCTTACTCTGAATTTGGACTTTAATATTTGATTCAAAACTGCTTGCAATTTTAAATGCAGAAACATACAATCTGAAGTAACTGCACAATTATACTCAAGAAGGGAAGATAAACAGTATTTCTAACATAAAAATTAATATAATATCTTTCATGAAAGCTACAGTATTATAGGTTAGGTAAGTCCTCTATTGGATCTGTTGAATATTCGGTTACAGGCCCCCAGAAGAACATGAGGAGCTGAGTATTTGTACTCAGAGAGGAAATATACCATTTATTGCAAGTCTTTTTCAAACTAATCTCAATAAAAAATATATTAAAAGGGCTAGATTTATCTTTAGTTACCTTTGTGTCAGGGGAATTGTGTTACTAGTTTTGAAACCCACAAATTTCAGCACTTAGTAATTCTTTACCCATAATCCCTCTATTATGGGTTGTTTATACCCTGCTAGTAAGGACTGTCTGTAATATAGATCTTTACCTGACATTTTATGCCTGCAAGGCTGCAGGTACAAGTTTCTGGATCACAGAACACTCGGCAGTCACAGCCACAATCCTCTCTGGAGAGGCGGATAGCCCGCAGCTCGTGTTTTTCTTCCACATCAATCTTTTTTACTCCAGAGGCTCGCAGCAATGCCCTTCGTTTTTTTGTTGGTAGGGGTTGTAGAAAGAAATATTCATCTACTTCTGTGTTGTCTAAATCAATATCATCATCAGAAATATCATCAAGTGTTAGAGTATTAGCATCTTCAGATTCCACTGTACCATTCTTTGTCATCTACGATACAAAGCAGTTAACACACTATTTAGACTATACACCTCCTGAAACTCAAACTTTTAATAAGAGCAAAGTAACTGTAATTTATTTGTCTGCAAGTGAACTATAAGAACACTACGAATGTAAAGTATTATACATGGTTCTGTAAAACTGACATTCAGTAAGTCAAGGATTCTTAACTGATTTATTTCAGATGTCATTCCTTTCTGAATTGTCATGGAAAAACAAAGAAATAATTGAGAGTTCAGATTTTCACCTCTATTTGCAAAATATGGAAAAAAACATTAATAATATTATCCCCCCAATATTGCTAGGAGTTGCCATTTTAAAATTATTTGTCAGTGCTTCATGATGACAGAAAAATGCAGGGCAGGGATTAACTAAAACCAATGGACAACACTAATTTTAGGATAAATATGCCCTTCTGTGTATAGGCAATACAATCATGGCTGAAATCACGACAGCTATTCACAAACTAATCTGTCTTTGAAGGAATAATAATTTCTCTATCGGTGGAGTAAAAATGGAGAAACACACCAGAAACTACTACTATGCACTGTGTTGTTGTCATTTGAGATACGAGGAAAACATTATCAGAATTAAAATTTGGATGCAAAGTACATGTACTCAGAGAAATGTCTAAGAATATATTACCATGCTTCACATTTAGGAACACAGGGATTACTGTATAGGAACACAGATTAGTGTACTAGCTCAGATACAAGGTCCAGCTAGTCCAGTATCCTACCCTAGCAGTAGCCAATCCCTGAAAATATAGAACAGGGATCTCAAACTCCTGGCCTGTGGACCATCTATAGGTTGGAGCATACAGGCAGTCCCCGGGTTACGTACAAGATAGGGACTGTAGGTTTGTTCTTAAGTTGAATCTATATGTAAGTCGGAACTGGCGTCCAGATTCAGCCGCTGCTGAAACTGATCAGTTTCAACAGCGGCTGAA